CAGATGCAGCATACCAGAAGGATCCAGCACTCTCACTGGCACCCCCATCCCAACTGCGTATTTCGTTCGAGACCTAGGAATTCGATATTTGAGCAGATTCAACTTCTCCGAACACGTGCTACATCAATTAGAGAAAGCGGAGCAACTAACAGGCCATATCGCTAGGTCATTTCTCTATCCCAAAAACGGCTGGAATCCTTCAACCTTATTGAAAAACCTATGCTAGAGTATTGCACCATCATACACAGCCACTTAAGCAAAACAGATAGAATTGCTTTGGAAAGCTTCCAGCGCTCATTTACCAAAATGCTCATGGGACGCTCATCATGGCTTAGCTTCCACGATCCACTCTGGCATCGACGGCTGAAAATCAACCTGTCTTTTCTACATCATAATATACTCGCGAGTTTGCTCCACCAGTAGGACCGTCGTATTACATAATGGCTCAGCCTATCCCACCAGTAATGGGAAATGTCTACTATCCTTACAGAGGACCAAGCAAGGTATCCGCCTAAAGTTCTTCTTGGTGAGGTACGCCCACCTTTGCATTTAAGGAACTGTGACAGCTTGCCAAGTTTTAAAATTAAGTTAAAATCTTTTCTTTCCATGCCAAATGTGCTCAAACTTTTCGACTTTCAACAATTCACTAGCGCTCTCATGGAACCTGACCCGAACAGCAGTTGACAATAGTGACGAGCAACTAATGGTCCTCACTACATACGCAACAAAACATTGCATATCTGTTCCAGATAGATTGTAATTCCTAAATGAAGGATGAAGAAAGTACCTGTCCAGATGATCGTTCCACAAAAGATCCCGCCTGTCGGGAAATATGCCCATTCAATTCTTTCTTTATGTACTTCTGGGACCTACAAGCAGCCAAAGATGCAGACATACGGCCAACGATACTGAGCAAGATTAAACAAATGCTAACATCACAGTGCGGCAATTGACCGGTGAGTGCCATAGAATGACAAAACTGAAGCGTGGTACATAAATGCTTTAGCAGTTGTCCAATAAGCACGAGCATGACCTCATTTGCGCAGTAAACTGGACTCCCCGAAAAGCATCAAATCACGTCAGTTCAGCATGTTTCAAACCTTCTCGGCTTGTTGGTTTTGGCGAGAATGGCATTTTGCTCGACACAGTCCATGTAGGAATCAGGTTTGCAACCGATGCGGCGGAAGATGTCATAAAGTGTCGTGTTGTTTGGCATGTGGTCCCACTTGGTCGAGAAAGAAGCGCAACAATGCCGCACCGTTCAGTCGGCCCGATGGGATCAGAAAGATCACTGCAACTTTCAAGGTTGATGGTGTCAACAGGCGTAAGTACACCATTTTGGAAATCAATGGCAGGTAAGTCAACTTAGAACTTGATACTGTTTCAAATATCACTTTGATCTCTAGCGACAAGTAGAGCATGCTGGGACCACCGGCACTCGTACAGACGGCCCATATGGCACGGAATGCTATAGGTGTTGGTTAAAATTCTTTGGTAAATTGTATTATCAAAACAATTACCGAACCCAACAAATTTACACAACATGCCTTGTGACAGACCAACGGGGGTTAGATTTGCTGGGACTCGATTGGTTGGATGGGTTGTAGTTGCTCGACCAGTCGGTCAACAGTATAGGCCAGCACTTACAAGTCAAATAAGCTACGCGGATGCCAACAATGAACCGTGAATTGCGCAACCAAATTGAAGAAATGAAGCGACCTCATGAAACGTTATTCATACCTGTCTCCAATGCTGTCACATAGCCAGGGCCGAGTTGAACCTGAAATCAGATGCCAAACTAGTCTGCAGACCAAGACGCCCGGTTCCGTACGCAAGGCAATCTCTAATCAAAGCCGAGCTAAATGGACTGCAATCCGAAAGTATAGCAATAGAAGCAGTCTTCAGAATGGGCGAAAGTTATAGTGGTTATAAAGAAATGGAAAGGTAAGGACCTTATCTGCTAATTTTTCTACAGGCCTGGATTCTGCGCTGGAGACGGGTCAGTACACATTGCATGTACCAGAGGAATTGTTCTCCAAACTCAACGATGGCAAATTCTTCGCCAAACTTGATCTAATTTACGCTTTCTTGCAAATCCCAGTTGCCGAGGAGTGCCGAGTGCTACTAAAGTCTCCTACTGCAATACCGCTGTTCTGATTTCGCTTGGTTGCAACATCACTCACACGATCTTCAAGTGCAAACCCTCTGGAAATGTGCAGCTGTTCATATAGAGGAGGTCAACGTTCTTGGACAACAATTTAGCCGTACCTTCCAAAGCGTGCATTCATCATACATCCTGCCTAAGCAGATAACGCCGCCATCAGGGCTTAATCACATATCATTCACCACTGCAGCTGTACTAAAGAGGCTGAGGTCTCTGCGCGAGTTCAGCTCCCCGGACGGCACGGAATCATCACGTCAATCTACAAAAGTGGTAGTCGTGTGAACCAGCGAATTATCGCCCGATAACACTACTTCCTGTGATCTCCAAGCTTATGGAGTCCACTGTAGCTGAAGCTTTGATGGGATACCTGGAGAACAACAAAATTCTCGTTCCGGAGCAGCACGGATTTCACCACAATCGGTCCTGTATAAAAACAGCTGACATTGACACTAAGCATATCGCGGAGCGGTGCAACGCACCAGTAGAAAAATGATGACCACTAATTACTTCCCTATGACCTTGCTTTGATGCCTTGTTACTTGTATCTATCTGGCCGAAGATAATGCATGAAATGACAGTGTCATTCCACACATTTCGTATTCTGATAATCTTATTTGAGATAGCTGCGTCGTTGCTTCACCCTATTCTACCAACCATAAAGCGATGTGGGTTAAATTTAACTGGAAGCTCTGCTAACCCAGGATATTATATTAACTGAACATGGTGTGTCGTCCTCCTATGGCTTTTTGACTAGTCGACAACAAATGCATTTTCATGTTACTGTACGGATATAAGAAATAAATTCAAGTCCACCGAGCGCCACTAAGCTTTCCTCTATCTATATTTTTCATTCACACCCTAAGCTATGAGCAGGTAGATCGTTTGGAATATTGAAAGTGGAGATTTCGGTTCAAAGAACTTGTTAGCCTGTTTTATATGCTTTTTTAAGATGCGCTGGTGAGTAACTGTTTAAAGTTCACACGACTCGATATTTTTAGTATGGCTGTTGTCATCAACTCACTCACTTTATCCTGGATATTTCCCAAGATTGGATTTATTCAAACCGGATCTGGGTTGCGATGATTTAATCACGGGCAGAATGGAACTATATGATATGCCGTTTTTAACTAGAGGACAGTAACGGATAACATTAATACATAACTTTTAAACATGTGGAACCAATGGTAGAGGATTGAGGCATTCTATTGTTTTCTATTGGCAGTAGCGCTCCATACATGATAACTTTCGTGTTTTGGGTAGCTTCGAACTCTATCCCAGTGAGAATTACCGTCTTTTGGGTAACATAGAATATACTGGCATCCCCAATGTGTAAACATGCTTTACTTTTCTTTATAAAGTTGGCATATTGAGAGTGATTGAGTTGTTCGCAGGCTTGACGTGGCCGCATATGCGATAATGTTCCAAGTCAACTATTCCTGAGAAAAATTCATGAACAATTTTGGCTTGGTTTCTCAGATGTCATTAGAATCCGTATGTATGTTTAGCAATAGTTTCCCTGGTTCAGCGTTGCCACGATTTTGCAAAACTATGGACAACCGAGTTTCATCCTACAACCTCGGACGTCGGGGCAAACGACGCCTGCTACTTTGGATGTGACCGCGCTCTCAATGAACAGTCCCGCCAGGTGTTAGTCCGGAGGGCATTCTGGTCCATATCATTACTCTGTACGAAGCATACCGAGTGCTGATTAGGTTCGGACCACATGCTACACATAATGTCAGTTGACGGTGTGCTACCACGCTAAGCAAGTGTGTGTATACCTGGTATTATCAACTACAATAGAACCTTCGATGTTAACCACGCATACACCTTGGCTGTTTTCTATTACATTCGCCCTGTAAATCTGATGGAACCAGACCATCTCTTTTGTTCAGTTCCATGAGTGGTTAAGTTCCGCGGTTTAACTGAATCTAACCACTTAAAAGCACAGGTGCGTTGCGGAAACGAGTGTCAAAGTTCCCTTAGCAGTATTACATCTAACCATATTTGGTCAACTCGTGCGAAAACACCAAAACCGATGTATACATTAGGCACCTTTTGGGGAGAAAAGGCTGTATAACGCGGTTTACTTGGAAGTCGCGTGTCTCAGTTCATTCAGAATGACACCATCCAATGGGTCATACACCATTGTGACGTGTGGTTCAGCGTGACTCCGCGGCGTGGGTTCTGGGCTTCCGTTGTTGCGATCACAATTTTTTAGATTCGAATACCACGAAAGTGGTCATCGTTGTGAGGTCTTGAGAGCGATCACATCTGACACTTACTTGTGTTCTCACGGTCAATTTCGCAAAAGTCAGAGTGTCGCGTGAAATGGCTTCTAGCATTACTGACACACTGTCAATGTCATGGAAGAAATAATTGCAAGACACAAGTCGCTTTGGTGCCAGCAGTCCATGACCACACATGGAACGCCTCATTAACGGGCATGCAATCTCTAGTGCATATGACCTGATATTCCATCTGACTTTGTATGTAAAACACCGAAAAATAACCAGTAAGTAGTGCAACTTCACCAAAGTGTGTAATCATGGTACACGTTGCTTACGTTTTGACGACAATTCGCTCAGAATATCTGGGATTTACACTTACTGTTCATGTTAATTTCCGACGCACAACCAAGGAAAGGAATTTATTCAGGATGTGAGCAAGAATATCTGGTTGGAATCACAGTGAGTTGTCACGTAATTTTCTCACGACCAATACGATGCATTATCTCAATTCCAGGCGTAAAGAAATACCCTACGGAAGTGGGGATTCACAGTCAGAGAAAGTTAAGGTAAAGTTGACAGCTGCATCATTAGCGCGAGGAGGTTATTTAAGAAGGCGGGGCCACACAGCTGTCCTCATTATGTAAGAAAATGATTTGTGGATCCAAATTGTTGAGGCCACGCATGATTTCCCGCTTGAACTGCACTCCTTCCGGCTGTTCACGTGAGCACGATTTGTTGTACTCCGTCAATAACCTCTCTGTCACGTCTGGCACCTGCTGCGTTAGCTCATCGTCAGGGAAGAAGCATGGAAATGGGTTGCAAAAGGCTGCTGTCAAGTCACTGATCGGGAGGTGCCACAAACGATTAAAAGGAACCAAGTCGTACCCACTCTCGATGCATAAGTGCCTCATCCAGAAATTTACCTTCCGCTCCTCGGTGTCGAATGATTCGCGTGAATAAACCGCTTTGCTCATCACATTGCTCACGAGTGCCGCGGTAAAGTATCTGTGCAGATAGCTGTAGTAGCTAACTTGTACACCTACATATTCACTACCGCGCCAAGTGGCCAACAGTTGCAGCTCATCATCTGGGCTCCAACCTAGAGAGAATCCTTTCGCGTAGGAAGCAAGCCCAAGCAAGTAATGGTGCAGAATTGGGATGTAGAGGTTGGTGGTCACCTCCCCACCACGCGCGAATGTAATCCTATGCACTTGTAAATTGTGGCCTATCTCATGTATCACACCAATGTACTTTCCACTCTCGATTCTCGATTTATCCAGGAATGCTTTACCCCAGTACCTGTGACCCATCCACGGGTAGCCTGAATGACCATCACCAACCGAGATTTGCTCGTCGGTTACGAATACCTGCAAACGATCTGTTGCGTAGTTGGTGCCGCGGTAATTATGTATCATTTTGATAACATTGTCATGATAGTTAACGCAAAACAGAAGATCTTCGCCACTAATTGCTGTTGCGATGGAAGTGGCGATCATGCTGATCATGTTGTTGCCCACTAGCATCAAATAGGGAACACCACGATGGTGTTACCGAGTCTTGACGATTCTTTCTAAGGCCTTAGAAACGGTGGTTGTATGGCTTATCGGTCGAGAATTTGACATTATAACTCGTGGACAGCCATTGAGTTACAGTAAAATTATGGAATTTTGCCACTGAGGCGGAAAGTAACTAGTGTTTAGTGACACTGTAGAAATATTCAACATGAGGAGAGATATGCTTTTACCACCTAGCCTTATAGCTGCAGAGGCAATGCCGGTAGGTCATGGTTGGAAAGTCGGTTTGATAGATGTTATAGTCATTTGTACAATCTATAGATTCAGAGGAATGGTACTTAATACCACTTCCGTTTTTCTTGTAAGGAGAGGCGAGGATGCAGATAGCACAGTCGTGAACGAGACAGCAAAGTAGAAATTCATCGAAGCGCATATTTGGACTAAATCATCTGTTGCCCTATGGTGGTTTAAAACTAGGCTTGGAATTTTGGGGTGAATTTTTGGATTTCCTGTTCTGAGTCAGGGCACGAGCTTTCTCCGTATTAATAATTGCTCGGCTTTCCTCGGCAATCCTGGTCTGTTTAGTTTGGCGTTCAGGTTTCATAAAGATTTCCTGTAATTGGATTAATTTGGCCGGTCAGCTTGTGAAACTATGAACGTTCCTACTCGCGATTTCCACTGCTAGAGTGGGTAACCCAATCTTATTTTTTGCACATCTTGTGGCATTTGTACCGGATGTGGAGCAAAGATGTCTGCTCATCAAAAATTTGTGACAGGGCTGAGACAACTTCGTTAAGGGATAAGTCAGTGCTCTTCTTTCACAAAATGAAAATTGGAAGCTTTTCATGTTCAGCCACACCCAGCTTCCGGAGCATCAAGCAAATTTTCTTTCTTTCCGATACCTTTAAGAACTCAACACGAAACGTGTCTTCATACTGATGAAACCAGGAAGCGAGTGTTACGCCAGCATCCGTATCATAATGGAATTCAGTGATCTACTGAGTCGTTTGACTTGCCCCCAACCATGGGCTTGACTGTATCGACAAGTTCTGCGACAACTTTTCAATGAGCTTGGCTTGCCGCTGCAAAAGTACCTTCAAGTTTTCAAGGCTGACTGCCATTTCTGGGCTCGATTAAAAACTTTGTCGCCACTGTTGTAACGCTCCCCTCGCCTCTGCCCCCTGCGCTCCAACCCAGCCGAGAAAGAAACAATACATCAAAGCATGCGAGATCGAAATATGTTAGGAACAGAACATGATTCATTGTATAGGTTGCAGTCTAACATCTCCAGTTGTACCTTCTTGAGCGGACTCACGCCACGTGCTTGGACAGATTCCAAACCTAATTGCGGTCCGCATTGGCCAGCTGTAGTCGCACTCATTCACGTCTGTCGCGCACCAACCCGTGTCACGGGGACGAACTGATTTCATCAGCTGTACCACCACCGGTCAGGTAGCAGTGCATGCCATGATGACAGACGTCTGGAAACCTTGTCACGTTGTTGAGTTGCGACCTACGCTTACCTTGCAGCCGCCAACTGCGCACCCGCACGATTCATGTCCTCGAAAAGCGGAAGCTAATGCTGCACTAAGCCCAATGTAATTGTATATGAGGATAGTCAGTGCGACACCTGGCAATGTTATTGGAAATGTGTTGTCTGCAATGAGTGGTGAAGCTATGGCTCACTTGCCCAAACAATCACTGATGTCAGGAACTCTTCTGAGTCATCGAAATTGGTCATTTGTCTCGTCCAAGAGGCAAAACATTTTCTATTTCTGAGCATTACTCGAGCTAATTCTGCTTGCTTCATGTGTGGATTATCAAAAAGGATTCTCATATTAGTTAATAAGGAACGTATACTTGCACAGTGCACGTATTTCATATACGGAGACGGCAAGTTTGATAAAGTTTCCAACATGTTTTCTCAGCTGTGTACGGGGCACGCCAACGTGGGCAGCAGTTATCCCCCTTTCCTTTACATCGTTTCATAGAAAACAAGAGACGCAGACATATAAGCGAATTTTTGAAAACACGAAAATACTGTTACAGGATTTGGGGCTACGAAAGGGTTAGTCGGGTTTGAGAAGGCCTCCATTAACGCTACTAGTTTCTCAGTTCTCAGCGCAGAAATTAAAAATGCCATTTCCACCTGTGTCAAAGTATCATCAGAAAAGTCTGAAACTTCAGCTTAAAGAGTGCACTTGAAACGGATTATAAAAGTTAACTATAATTGAAGTCGCTGACCGTACTTTCCTTAGTCCCGGTCGCTGAATTGAGAGGAGTTTTACTGAGCTGGCCAGCACATTTCTAAATGAAGAATCATATACTGTGGTAACCATTTATTTATTCTCTACTTAAATTGAACAGGCAGTAGGCCAAGAACTGCAGTTTCCACTGCGAATGTGAAACCATCAAGATGCGGTTCTTGACAGGTCACCGAAAACCACTAGTTTCAGCGAAAGAGTTCACAATAGTTTGAATTCCTTATTCTACTGCAGTCACCCATGCGTATGACATGTGTTCGGTGGCCTTGGCGTACCACAGAATTACACTAGCCCATGCGCGCGCTGATCGTTTTGAAGTGAGAAGCAAAAGATATTACGCGTTGAAAGCTGTCGTTACTTTTGTGTTCGATATTATGAATCAACGGAAGACCGACTTAAATACTTGCGAAGATTAGCTACTTTTCAATAATGAAGTTGGTTTTTCCGGTCGGTGTGAAACTCAGCAGCAAGCAAACTGTACTCGTACGAGCAAATCATGTACCCTTATATTTCAACTGGTTTTTGCAGATATTTCCGTCTATTTCCATATTAAATCCTTTGGTAAGTGCTTAACACGTTCTCACAATTCGTAAGTGGGTATTCTTCTACGTGGGCATTTCATTGATGAAAACGCAGTCCTGAACAAAGTATTAATGAATAGGCGCGCGTACGTTTGGTGTTTAAGAGGTAACCGCTTTCAAAAGACGCTGGTGATTCGTGCGTACTAGGATTGTGGGAGCATCAGCGCGCGTCGAAGCTGCACGAAGGGTCGTAAGCATTTAGAAATCATGCTATACTGTCCGTCACTCCGCAGTCAAATTGAAGTTACAGTATTACGGGATAAACGGCAACACCCTTACCTGAGTATTTGCCAGGCACAAAAAACTGGTCGCTTGTCTGAGTTTTATTCACAGAATAAAGTGACTTCTCAGATGAGCAGACGACGTCCTCATGAAGTCTGCCACAAACCATACCGGTACATACCGATTGGGGCTTGCAAATTCCTGTGGGAGATGATGGTACTGACAACTTGTGAGTAGTCCATTTCCTTGTGCTATATTTGCGAAGAAGAGGCCTCCAGTTCACCGCGACTTCGTTGTTGGTCATTAGTGCGCGCATCTAGGTTTCAGATAAATGACGAGGTTCCACGTGTAGGATACCTCTGATATATGTAGTGAGCCTGAGACGTATGAACAGGCGGTGGGATTGCGCCGACCCCTAAGAGTTCGGCCAATCATCCTTTTTCAATCTTCTGCTGGCAATCGGGTTGTTGTCTTATCAGACGGATTTTGTCTCTGAACAATCTCGTTTTTTTTAAAGAATGGGATGTGATCGGCAATTTCAAGGTCTGGCCGAGTGATGCCACCTGAATTGTTCCCTTTAAGTGATGCCGATGAGTACGATATGTATGTTTTTAGCCTGGAGGACTCCATTTTGAGCCCGAGATCAGAAAATAGCCTGTTACGAAGTGCTGTTTCGTCGATACATATATGATAGAATGATCATTTGGGATCAAAGGGAGTAACCAACGCAACTGAACACCAGATTAAATGACCTGCACCAATGCATCAGGATGACAATAGGGCGAGTGCAGAATAATAGCATGCCGTTTATTGACGGATTGATCGAACGCGGAACTGATGGATCGGTACGTAGATCGGTATACCGTAAGCCGACGTGGAATAGACCATGTCTGAAGTTCCATAGTTTTGAACCCAGACGCTACGAACAGCATTGTTGCATACCCTGTTTGACAGAGCAATACAAATCTACACGCCAGACAAGCTAGATGAAGAAGTGAGATTCCTCACTTGCACCCTAGAAGAAAACGAGCATCCCAATCGTTTCATCGCTCACTACAGTAAGAAGAAAGGGAAAGAGAAGGTACACTTGCACTTGGGCATATTCATTCTCTCGCACCCCTAGTACATAGAAAGTCGCTAGATTTTATGCATAGTCTTTTATTGAAGTTCATAGTTGATTGTTATAAGCTTTATGGGTCAGGAGAAATGACTTTCAATATTCACAGTCTGAGCCCTTGACGTTTAGCCCTTATCTGCTTCACCGTGTGTGTGCGATGCGTCTTCATTTAGGTACAATTAAATTGGCAACAGGGCTGTACGGATGCATTGGGGGCATATTTACCTCCAAGATTGTGCGCCGACCAACCGCTGAACGCCATAAGAGTGATTTATCAAGGTAATTTCCAGTGGTAAAGCATTACCTCATGGGAGGACAGCACTTGTGCCGTACAACGCACGTTTGCAGTATACCCAGGCACTGAAACCTCTTGTGTAAACAGGTCCTTGTAAATACACCACCTCACACGTACGGCGTCCTGTCTTTCCCCTTGCTCTCCTGATTCTTCCTGATATCTTCGTTCATTTCATTATCATTTCTGCTTTGTGTTACTACGTGGTATCGGCTCACAAACCAGGTGGATCGACGGTAACGACGACCACTAGTAACTTCATAGTGGAAAACAGTAGACACGCTTTACTCCCGCAATTGCAACTGCCGCACTACTAAGACGCGGTGCGTGAACATCGCGCGCCAAATGGCAGTAGCGTTCTGACGGAAATAAGCCTTCTACAGAGAACAACTGGGTACACCTGTCACATTTACTTTATCAGTGTCATTATGGAGATGACAGCTGAGACCGATTCAAAAGTGGATATGTAGACTCCTCCTGAGTATTTGATAGGAGCTGACTTCAGCGGTCAGTGACACGCATTTGTAGTCATTTTCCGGCGAAATACTTATCGGAGGACGAATAACAGGAACAACTTCGTAAACGTAACGCCTTTGAAAACGGGACATTTATCTTCCCCATTATAAGACCAGCAGGATTGCGAGAATTTCAGAGGTAAGCTGTCTTGTGGAGTCAAATGTAATTAACCCAGAGAAACAGGAGCTCATTCATGCACAACTGGCGTCTCTGAGTTAAACAGTCACCAAACTTGATACTACGCTGCTAAATATTAACTTTTCCTCTCTGGCAGATAAGGTGACCCAATTATTGAGCAACCAAGTGGCTATGCGACATAGCATGTGTGATGGGAGCATCAGATTAGAGTGAACGGACGGGCTAACCGAACTAGCCAGCTAGCCAATGGGAGGCGATCGTAACTGATTTGGTTGCTGGTCATGGAGAGGCAGACATTCATGTGCGTTAATCATCGTTAGTTTAATTCAGTCAATAGAGGTACCACATCGCCTCAGAAGAGTCGTTAGTTATGGACGTGAACGCGTAACTTATTTCGAGAAATTTGGCTTGCCAAATATGTGTAATTTTCCCGAGTTGTCTTTGCCGAATAAACGATTGGGCCTGAAGGACTCAGTTCTGCCACAGCATGCATGTCATGACCTCAACAATCGCTAGCCGCGGAAGTCAGGATCAGAAGAATTTGCCACTACCTATAACTTCAGTCAGTGATCTGCAGGCTTTCGCGAATTTCTTAAAGGATGAATGCAAACGACAGCAGCTGGTAAGACAATTATGTTATCCTCAGCCGGAAACCCAGGTTTCCGTTTTGGAAACTTGAACGACAACTCTCTGCGGAAACGGTTCGTATAATGATAGGCAGTCTGATGACCAGACCAGGATATTAATTTTTCGGCTCCAAAAGTGTGCACCATGCTGGAGTGGGGGGGGGGGGGGGGGGGGGGGGGGGGGGGGGGGGGGGGGGGGTGGGGGGGGGGGGGGGGGGGGGGGGTGGGGGGGGGGGGGGGGGGGGGGGGGGGGGGGGGGGGGGGGGGGGGGGGGGGGGGGGGGGGGGGGGGGGGGGGGGGGGGGGGGGGGGGGGGGGGGGGGGGGTGGGGGGGGGGGGGGGGGGGGGGGGGGGGGGGGTGGGGGGGGGGGGGGGGGGGGGGGGGGGGGGGGGGGGGGGGGGGGGGGGGGGGGGGGGGGGGGGGGGGTGGGGGGGGGGGGGGGGGGGGGGGGGGGGGGGGGGGGGGGGGGGGGGGGGGGGGGGGGGGGGGGGGGGGGGGGGGGGGGGGGGGGGGGGGGGGGGGGGGGGGGGGGGGGGGGGTGGGGGTGGGGGGGGGGGTGGGGTTGGGGTTGGGGTGGGGGTGTGGGGGGGGGGGGGTGGGTGGGGGGGTGGGGTGGGGGGGGGGGGGGGGGGGGTGGGGGGGGGGGGGGTGGGGGGGGGTGGTGGGGGGGGTGGGGTGGTGTTGTTAGGAAGGTGTTGTGGGTGGAAAAATTCACGATTAGTCATCTTAATGGAGTCACCGTTGAAGTGGGCAATCTTTCTATTCCGCAAACCAGTGAGATCTTCCAATTCACCCGAGACGTTCCGAGGAATGCAGCGAATGGATTTATAACGCGGCAAAGGCGCACCCTTGGCAAACACGCATCCTCAAACACCACATAGTGCTGTGGGTCGCCTAGTACAATATAGTCCTCACCAAAACTAGTAGGTGTCGAAAATTTCGAGGTCTTCAGTAGGACAAGTTTGAATTTGACTGCTCCTGAGGGTACCTTCGCTGTATCCTTAGAAGTAAAAGCTTCTAATCGACCTTCTAATTCGATAATTTTAAGCCGTGCCGCAAATAGTCGATCAGCAGGAGACATACATATACTATGCCTGCATCCTGTGGACCAGGTGATAAGGAACGCATGCCTGAATTATCCATCAGAGAGCGAGTCAGAACTATTCAACTTATGTTACTGCAGAATTCGCTGTTTAACGACGAGCTGACGACACCTATTTAAACTCGCGATCACGGCTGTGAAAATTAACGGCGGTGGACAGAACAGATTGTGTTGAAGCAACTGGGTTTCAACCTAACTGACATTGAGTCAATTTAGAAAGGTATAACTTCAGAACAGGTGAACAGACTCATTAGGTACAGATGGAGTTCCACGTGTTCAGTTGGAGCAGTCTGCACACATTCAATTACGTAATAGATGGTGCATTAAAATAAAGTGTCCTGATGTCTGAGATTTACACATCGTTACCAGTAAGTATTGAAAACACGTGTAATAAAGACTAGGAGGGAAATGTAAACTGGGCAGTATGACAGTTACTTCAGATTCTAAATGTTACCAACAGTGGGCCATCCAATGACCGCGACTACAAATATGAAGCAAAACTATACTACTCATAAATAGATAGTAGTAAGTTACACTATTGAATCAGGAATTTACGGTATAGACCGGTGTATTAGTGATTCACATTTCTCCAACGATTTTCGTATCGTTTTGTTCCTAGTCATCTTCCCCATTTAAGGCCTCCTCCAGTAAGCACAATTGCCAGACGTCTCTGCGAAACGCTCCTTTGTTCGTACGTACCAGAAGTTCACGAACCAGTACGTCACGCCCAGTTTTCGATTCTGATTATGCCCATTTGACCGCAGACCTTGGCGTTCGTACATCAGAGAATAGAACTAAAAGCACCTGTCTTTAAACTGCGCTTATTCGAATAGCGGTTTTGACGAGGATGTAGAGTAGGCAAGTAATGCAGTATGCTCATGAGTTGGGGATTTTAATACGATCAATCGAGATTCTTCGCATCCAGCTCCCAAATCAGTTAGTCGTCCACATGCACGGAAAGCGATAGACTGCGGTGCGCCATCAGGAATCGAACTCATGACCACCAGTGCCCAGAACCGCCAATTAGCAACATATGCCATCGGACGACGACCAGATTTCCAAAACATCTGACACGACGATGTACAAGCTAACTACGATATAGAGCAGTTCGTCGGACAGCTGCTGCACCTGAGTTCACAGTCTTGCCAGTCGGTTGGGAAGCTGTCTGCTCGTGGTGCAGGACCCCGTCAGCTGCTAAACCCATCAACTGACTGGGTGATGTAGTGCCACATTCAGTACCAGAATCCAGTAGCGCTGACACAACTCAGAAAGAACATGGGATGCACCGGCATGTCCCTTTCCTTCACGATAAACCTAAAATGAGCAGTCTGATCACGAATGGGTGGGTGGTGAGCAGGACAAGATGCCTAGTGTCATGCGGCAGTGATGACCAATTAAATATAACACGCACTCGTAGAATGCCGTTTCGCAAGCATGGGCACAGTCCTTTCAAGGCGAAATGCAAACGTTTAAAGCATGTGGTTGCTATGTTGGATCCATTCCATTCCATTACTTTAATCTCATCCGAAAAGTAGTGTTGTTGCAAACTTCCCACCAATTCTGTTTTCTCTTGGTTAAGTTCGGATAACGTCAAATGGCCCTCGGTTAGAGTACACAGACATGATTATTCTGAACAAGATGACAATGGGCGTTTCAGCCTGGCCCAGTTACTGCAACTTGGAATCCCATCTGGCCAAGTGCTAATTAGTAGTATATAGTTGACAACATTCTTACTTCTTCATCCACTCTTTCCGAATTGCACACAAACGTTCCGCTGCCCCTAGCCAATGGACACCTTCGAGATATAGGAAACTAGACCAGTCAAAACATTTGCTCATCCGGACTTCATCATTGACTCGCAGTCCACGAGACGCTATGTCTACAGGGTGCAACAATGTTTCGACGCACAACCAGTGCTTTGGGGTGGAAAACCGATGCACCTTGGATAGTATGTTTGTTACGAAAGTTATGCACCTTTCGGTAGTATAATAAATCAGTTGTAGCACCACCATCCAGTCTGTTCAAAATGTCGGTGATATCTCTGACTACAACTCTTGAACCGCTTGAATAGATAACTGGAGTACTAATTCTGATCGTAGTATAGTAACTGCTCTTATCGGAGAAAAGCACGCAACTTTCATATACTTAGAGTAGACCAAATCAGATTTCTTCCGTCGACCATCCTAGTGTAAAAGGCCGCTCAGTAGCCATCTTCTGAAGCATCTGAGAAACAATGCAGCTGTATACCATCGTCAGTGAATGGCTTTGGTCGGTTACACCTAGGAATTTTCAACCGTTCAAGTTGTTTGGTGTCTCGCGAGAAACGATACCACTGTTCTCCTTCTGATCCATCTACTGAGTATCCCAACTAACTCCTCTTCGTACGAATGATTGCAACAGATGCTTAAAATGCCGCAGTACTTGAGCTACTAAGCCTAATTGATCAAAAATTGAAGCGACAAAAATAAGGCAATCTTCGGATGCAATCCGAGTTCGAATTTTGTTAGACTAAAGGTTATGCAATCATCTGACAAGTTCCACTTCAATCCCAGAGTGGGTTGTACGTTCTCAGATTGTAGAGTTAATTGAACCGATCCGTTGGATGCAGGACTCGTCGTGATTTCGCTCAAAATTTGACAGTTGTTACACTACTATTTCCTTAAGCGGAATGCGCACTTGAAAGCAATTGCTACAAAATTCGTAATAAGACGGCGAGCTTCATCCCGGCTATGAGAGTTGAACAGCAATCTTCGGTAAGGCTTGAGATGTACTCCTCGACAGCAGCAGTGAACATCTGATGTACTTCTTGGTTGCCCGTGAGTTTTCTACGTAAAGAGAGCAATCGTCGGTAAGGCATCCGATAATTGTTGTGTAGCTTTCCGCATCCATCTTTCCACGGTAAACTGAGTTACTAATGCAAGCCGAATTTAATGACGGACGAATCCAGCTAATCTAGAACACGCTGACCTTCGAATGACATTCCGGATCTTAAGCTGCATAACTCAGTAAAGTCCAACTCTTACATTCTCTCGAGCTAGAATAAAAGTGTTAATATAAATGTCCGAGGCGTCTGATTCCCACAACTTGCCCAAACAGGATACAAAGAAATGGCGTTTGCATAGCAAATGCCTCCGAGGACCTTCCATGTCGACGTTTTAGTGCCCAATAGGCTTCCGGAACATCCATACCTATTAGTACTATGACGCCTCTATCAGAACTGTCGATGAACTGCAGATCCATTAAGTACTCCCATTTGTGTAAGCTTTCATTGTTTCATTGTTTTATTGAGTTGCAGACAGCAGGCGGACTAACCCTTCTCAGCTCCGTCGATTCCCATTCATTGTGGGATAGCTGTGTGACGTGTTATGACGAAGTTCTTCAAGGGCTGGTCACATTTACAGCGACAGCGGCAGGATTTCACAGACTTAATTAAGTGTGTGTCCATAAGGCTGTTACAACTTTCCTCCGAAGGTACATCAACAATTACCTTAGGCAAACTCTTCCACTCATTCATTACCTGGGTGGACAGAATGAGGTCTGTGTGAGGGTGGAGCCTTCGTGGTTTGTGGCCGCGTGTCGAGCAGTCGGGTTTGGGATGGAAGAACTGCAGTAGCGTGTTTCTGAGTTCACCAAGTGGGATGCGTTTAGTGTGCATGAGATCTTCGCGGCGACGGCGAAACTCCATGGAGAACAGCTTCAACTGGTGAAGTTGGAGAGGCTAAAGAAGATCGCGGGACCAGCGAACAGATTTCGAAGCACATATCTGGATGTCTTGTATCAAAGATCATTAAAAGCTAAAGAGCGGGTAATAGCTGGCTCTGCATATTCTGATATGGGATGTACGCATGTGGTAAATAGGGGTCAGCAGATCACAGGATTCATTCTGGTAGACGACCTCCTCAAGATACCTAAGTCTCTTTTTCCGACTGCGACCATTTTCAGCGTGCCCTGGGACGTCCGATGCTCAGAGGACGTGATGACACCGAGAGTCTTTTCTTGAGTGGTGTTGTTAAGAAGAAAGCCACCAATGTGGTATGCGTCGTATGGGTCAGTGTCACCGATTGGGAGAACCGCACATTTATCCCGCTTTACTGGTAATCGCCACTTGGTAGACCACTTTTGAAGCCTATGTAGAGCATCTTGTAATTTGTCGACATCGTCTAGGCTGGATACCGTTGACCAAGGCTAAACATCATCAGCCTAGATCAAACAATCGGTTTGAAGTGCAACCACGTGAAAATGCATGTAAGCTGGAAAAGTTCTGGTCCAAGTGTAGATGCATGTGAAACCCCACTTGTCATTGACACAGGAGCGGTTGTGCTTTGAATGACCATTACACATAAGCAGCGGTCTCTTAGAAAGTCGCTGATTCAGGAGAATACTTTGCCTGGCACTCCGAGCTCCTGAAGTTTGAGCAGCAGTCGTTTATAAGAAACATTGTCAAACGCTTTGCTGAAGTAGATGAAAACCACGTTTATATGTTTTTGGACACCTATTGTTTGTGTCCAAGTTTCTCCGGCGACTAGCAATTTGGGGACGCAGGAACATGCTTTCCTGAAACTACGTGTGAAGCAAAAATTACCTCG